ACCATTAAAATACACCAGAATGTAGGAAATGGCATCTACTTTATTCAACATTTTCAGGGGGAGGACTCCCAGATTCCCCCCACCCCCCAGACCCCCCCATCAGTGTGTCTCCCCTCTGACATTACAAAAGCTTCTGACACCAGTGGCCAACACGTTGCTAAACAAGTACACACGGTGTCATACAATGTTCAAAGTGTGTTCAACTTAATTCAGTCTTGATGATTTGTGTCAACAAGAGAACATAGTACCATTTATAGTTCTATGAGCATTTGGATTTTTATACATAAAAATACACTTGATAGTTAGAATTTGAAGTATATTTACTGTATATTATGGTAATTTATTCTGTATTTTGCCAGATTATGGTGATCCTGGGGTCGTGATGATGGGGCCCTTGAAGATTGTTGCCCAGTTGCCCAAGTGTTAATCTGATAGAGAAGTCAATGACCAGAAAGTCATTTCAGAAGACATTTACAACTTTTACTCAACTTTATATTCATCTGATTATAATCGCGAGAGCTCAAATATTTTTCTAGAAGAAATCAGAGAATACATTCCAAGGATAGATGCAGATTTTAAGGACAACTGTGAATCTGAATTTAAACTGGAAGAATTAGAGAGAGTGATGAAAAAACTAACTACTGGAGAAGCACCAGGCCAAGATGGTCTAACTTCAGGATTTTACAAATTCTTCTGGGAAGATCTGAAACAATTCTTTTTGGAAACAATAAAAGATATATTATTAATCAACTCACTAACACCTACAATGAAACAGGGGCTCACCACTCTGATCCTTAAACCAGCAAAAGATAAAACGATACATTGAAAACCTTCGTCTAATTTCCCAGTTAAATACTGATTATAAAATATTCACACATGTGATTGCAGACAGACTAAAATATGATTTATCTCAGATTATAAGTGACATGCAGTCTGGCTTTCTTAAGGAGAGATCTATTCACAATAATCTGAGACTGGTTCTGGATTTGCTGGACTTTGAACATCTGGTGGAGGACGATGGAGTCATTTTCTTTTTGGATTTTTACAAAGCCTTTGACATGGTGGAGCTCACCTTTATCTTAAAAGCTTTGGAGTCTTTTGGTTTTGGAGAAAAGTTTAATAGAATGATTCAGTTGCTCTACACGGACATTAATAGTTCAGTATCTTTATCATCTGGAGCCTCTAAATGTTTTGATTTCCAAAGAGGAATCCATCAAGGTTGTCCTGCTTTATTGTGGCAGAACTGAAGCAATTTTTCTTAAAAATAATTCCAATATTGAACCGTTAAATGTGATGGGAAACTCTGGTAATTACACAGCTAGCTGATGACACAACCCTGTTTCTAAAAGATAAAACTCAAATTTCAAAGGTGCTGAGGGAGATGCAGAAGTTCTGCATTTGAATATGAAAAAAATGTGAAATAATGACTTCATGATCATCCGCTGGATGCTGTTTGTAATATCCCAGTTTAAAAAGAAGTTAAGTATTCAGGCATTAATATTTCAAAAGATAAAAAATTAATTGAAGCCTCCAACATAGAAACTAAAATCCACATTGTCAAAAAAAGTACACAATTGTACCTTAAAGGGTACAAAGGCTTGTCACTGGGGTGGTACCCTCAAAGGTACTATTATTGTACCCTCACCAGTGGGTACTTATTTGTACCCTTATAGTTTGTACCTTATGAAGGGCAGAACTGTACCTTTAGTGACAGTTTTGTACCCTTCAAATAAAAAAAATGGAAGGGGGAGGACCCTTTTCATTGACCTTTTCAGCACACACACACACACACATTATCTCAGGCAACAAATGACAATTTATTTTCAGTTTTCACATTTATTTTTCCATTTCATTGAAAACTTATACACAATGTCGAACAGTGACGTACAAAATGTCATCAACAATTTGACAAATTTCACTCTACTACTGTCTTTACTTACTCTGCTCAATCTGTTTTGTATTTGTAATTATTTTTTCTATCCTTAACGTGTGTTTTTGTCTTTCAGATACACCTGGACCTATACCTGGACCTACCAGTCTGTGTTCGTCTGTCTCTCGTCCCTGTCCTCTCAAACCAGCCGGTCAAAGCAGATGGCCGCTTGTCCTGAGCCTGGTTCTGCTGGAGGTTTCTTCCTTTTAAAAGGGAGTTTTTCGTTTCCACTGTTGCCACTGTGCTTGCTCAGGATGGGAGACTGCAACAAATCCAAGATTCAACGTGTCTGCTGGATAACTTAGATAGAGAACTTTACTAATTGGCTTTTATGTGAATGTTCCTGTAAAGTGCCCTGAGACAACTTTGTTGTGATTTGGTGCTATATAAATAAACTGAACTGAAATGAATTGAATCAACAGAGTCAATGTAATTTGGCTGGAAGTCCATTTCATCTCCTGCTTTCAGCAAAGTCCACCAAGGGGATGTGTTTGAAAATGCTGCCATCACAATAGTCCGTTTGAAACTCGGCTGTTTCTGGATTACTCTCAGAAAAGATTTGATCCTGAACATCATCATGGGAACAATAATATTTTAACACTTTATCAATGGGTACATATGAAAATGAGCCAATAGTGTGCTCTACTGAGTTTCTTAACTTAAGGTGTGTAGGTTCAATCATGTTAAGATTGAATTTACTTTTTTTTAAATCAAATATGGAGATTGAATAGTGTTTGTTGCTTCACTAAAAAATAGCTTGAATGTATGACAGTACAGTTTCTACTTCTGGACTCTTGAGATATCAAAAACACTTTTCTGCATGTGCTAAGCAATGAAATGATCACAATTGTTGAAAAAACACATTTAAATAATCAACAATCTCCTCTTGAACAGAAACAAGATGATTTTTCTCCCTGAATTTCAGAATGAATTAAAAACGGTCTTTGAAACTTGTCAACAGTTCAGCATAAGAGGGAGGATTTTCAATAACTTTTTCTGTCAACAGTTCATCCAAGTCATCAATGACAACCTCACTTTCCATTTCATCACAGTCATTTTCAGGACCTAACATTTTCATGTTTTCGGTATACGTCATCTAAAAGACTCATATTTAGTGAACGGACTGACAATCGTCAAGTCCACGTTATATGAAAGTTGGCTTCGTGTGCATGAATAAGTCCTATGTGCTGACTCAGCTTCATCGAGGTGAAAGCGCTCCTTGAGCATTTGGGACACTTGTAGGAACGAGGCGTAGTGTCAGTAGAGAAGATTTATTTTCCTTGTGACAGTTAGTGGTGGAGGTCAGTCCCCATCCTCAACTATTCTTACAGTGTACCTTTGGAGGAAGAACAGTGTGTTCTTCAGGTGTCTTGGGTTTGTCAGATTGAAGACGAAGTAGGTTCAAAAGGCTGAGATGATCCCTTCATCAACTGTTTGGCTGCGACACACCTCTTCTGGCTCTTCTGGTAAAAGGCACTTTCCAGTCTTGACCAGTCGGCTGAATGGTTGGTATGAGGACTGAGAGTCACACTGTTGGAAATAAAAAAGGGAACAAGAAATACAGCAAATTAACTTAACAGCCTTACAGTGTAGAATTAATACAGTGTAAATTAAAACAAATTTTAAGCATTCTAAACCAGTGTAATTACTTAATCCTTTAAGATAGTTTTGTTTTAACATGCAATTTAATCAAAACATAAGACTATAGGAAGGCTTCAGACACTAACCTTGCTGTATAAATTGGTTAAGTTGAACAACATGTTAGTAAGTTAGACCTCGCCAAGCACAACAGAGATCAATGTTCTCCCTGAAGATGTAAGGGAGAAAAAGAAGGGCAGCTCTTAGGTCCACATCTGCAAGAAATAAAATAAGAGATTTAATCAGCATTTTACTGCTTAAAATTTTGAGCATTTTAAATGTGATGGCTAAAAGCTGAAAATAGTTAGCCTCAAGTTGCAATTAATTTATTGGTACATGCCTAATCAACAACACACACAAATAAGGATTATTAAAAAAGAAATTAAAAGGTGAACCTGAAAACACCTCAGAATGGACAACATATACTGTGCACCTGCGTGGGACTTCTTCAGAAAGAGCATCCTGTCTTGCCTCCTGGTAGAGCTGGTACACAGGAGACGTCCCTGGGTCAGATGCATCACTTTTGGAATAATACAGGCAAAGCCTTCACTGAATCATTGTTGAGTGCTTCCCACCGAAGGATGAATACGCTGTACTTCATCACAGAGCTGAAAAAGCACAAATATTGTGCTGCATTTAGTATTTAGTTGACTGTCATTTCTGCAAAACTTGTTAAAATAATGGCCTTTCAGATGCATGTAACCTCTCAGATTAAACTAAATTTGTTTTGAAAAACGTCTGTACACCAGAAGCCACAGGTAAACACAAGTAGCTATAGAAGCTGTTAAATCTGTATTTACAGCGTAAAACAAATATATTATGAATAAAGATTTAGCAGCAAGTCAGGAAAGAAACGACTTAATACATCTAACTTTGGTCTTACACATTCATAGCCCATCTCATTTGTATAAACTAAGATACTCCACATCACAATGAGAAAACTATTTCAGTTTAAAGCAATTACACCTGTAGATGTCCTTAAGGGTATTTCTCAAGTGTGTCTGCCAAAGTCATCCCATCTGCAGTCTCCTTTCACCACTGTGCAAAGGTCTGCTGCATTTAGTCTTTGACAATTTTTGTGTCTGGCTGCACCTTCTGGTAAAAAAATAAATCTTTAAAGACAACTTGTGTGTAGACAGGGAGATTTCTACTGACTTTGTTGACACATTTTGTTAGGAAATAAAATATCAGGAAGGTCTCTACTACATGCTGAAAAGATGCTTAATGTGCAAAATAAATGTTATATTTTTCATTACTTCCCTATTTGGACTAGTCTCTCATTTAAACACTAAATAATATACAATAACTATTCGTGTAAATCTTTGGCCTGTAACTCCTGAGCTACTTCTCTCTGTAGAGAGCAGGAAGTACTTCCTGTTTTCCTCTGCGCATGCGCGAATTATCCAGTAAATTTATTTGATATCTTGTTAGCATGAATTGTGTTATTGAAGGGAACAGCGTTAAAGGTAGATTTGAAACTAAATTTAAGTTTATTTTCTTTTAATAAAACAATTTTTTGTTTAAAATTTAGAGGCAATAGAAGTGGTTTATGTCAACAAAAGCGCTAACACGATTAAGATTAGCTTTGCTTTGATCTTGGCTAATTGAGCTAGCATGCTAGCTCTGGTTTATTATGTTTGCAGTTGATCCTCTACAAACAGAAAAGTTGTTAGTGAGACTCATAAACAACAATTAATTTTTTTAAATGTATCTCAACCTGATGTGCTTGGTTCTGTTGCAGTCTTTGGAAAGGCTGTTCATGCCTTGTCCCGGATTGGAGACGAGCTGTGGTTGGACCCCATGGTCAAAGGGGTGAGCTGAGCCATGATGAAACCTCAGAGATTACATCTATCCCTCCTGTCTCAGTTTTCGACTGGGCGGCTGAATGTCCTTGTTTTAATTTCCTGACACAGCTGGCTCTGAGATCAGTGAATCCTACTCTCTCAGCGTATGGATGCTTCCTCTTCTCGCCGCTGTTCTTCCAGCAGTACAGCCTGAGATCTCTGTCAGAGCAGGACGCAGACACAATCAAATGTAAAGTCACCATGAAGGTAAAAGCTGCAACCAATCTGTGTGCACCGTCATAGCCTTCCTATTTATACTTTGACTAACGGGAACACTTGAGTTGTAATTATTGCATTCCTGTTTTTAAGTCAGTGTTGCCACTATTTCGATGTCTGACCTCCATTGAGCGCAAAGTGGAACAATGTCACATCTCACTCAGCACTCCCTCTGACCGAGTGATGATCCAGTTTTTCTGCAGACATGGTAGGAAGCAAGTTTGCATCATAAACCAGCTGTAGGTCGGTGTAAACAAATGTACTTTGCTTCATAACTGTTGCTGCACATTGTGAACAGCTGGTGGCAGTGTGCTCTAATCTCTGTTTTTGTGTTAGGCATAACTAAAACTCACAACATAAGTTTCCAGGAAAGTGAGGCTCTGGAGGCTGTGTGTGCCACACACTTCTGTCCCAATGTGCTGAAAGCTCCTGCCAGGTTAGCACTGTTCATTTAGCTGTCATTAGATCTATGGTTGCTATTTATACAGGATTGACCAGTATGAATAAAGGTTATACCACAACTTTCTATAATACTCATCCCCAAAACTTAGATTAATATTTCTTCAATTTAACGGTGCCCTTTCCTTTTTATTCAAATATATAAAGTCCTGTGCAAAGTGACTAAAACATAACAACATAAAGATTGGTGCCTTGAAAACAAACTATAATGAAAGCATTATTCTTTGAAGGAATTACCTGCTGCCTTGTACACTAAAGTTTTGAACAATCACCTGATCCGTTAGTGTTCAGAATATATACTGAGGATGACTCAGCTACTACCACACCAAATTTTAGCTCAAGATCTGTAAAAACACTGTTTCAGGTCTCTCTTGTAAATGAGTCCTCGAGGCTCAATGGGATTGACCTGTCTAAATAAAGGTTGAATGAATGTTTGTGCTTGCTAAGTTGATTAGCTGTGGTGGCCATCATAATCTGGGTTGACTGACTCCAAAAGTTTTAAAGTTGTATATGTGCAGGTGCATCTCAGAAATATTAGAATATTGGGAAAAAGTTAAATTTTTTGTGAATCGTTTCAGAAAGTGAAACTCATCTATTACATAGATTCATCACACAGAGTGAAATATTTCAATCCTTTATTTCTTGTAATTGTGATCATTATAAATGACAAATAATAATTACAAACAAAATTCAGTGTCTCAGAAAATGAGAATATTGTGAAGAGGTTCATCTTTATAAACTCCTGGAGTCTCGCCCTGATCAGCTGATTAACTCCTGGACATGAGCTACAAATGTCTCCAGTCCAGCCACTCCTGAACCAGAGACATCAGAAGTGTCTTACCTGCTGAGGAGACAAAGAACTGGACTGTCTCTCAGTGTCCAATGTCCTCTTTTCAGATTAAAGTAAATGTTCATGTCATTTATAAATCATATGTTGATTTGAATGAAAAAAGTTCTTTGAAACTTGTCAACAGTTCAGCATAAGAGGGAAGATTTTCAATAACTGATGGTTTGGGTCCATGTCCTCTGCTGGTTCTGGTCCACTGTTCTCTGAAGTCCACGCAGCATCTAGCAGGACATTTTAGAGACTTCTTGCTTCGTGCTGCTGACGAGCTTTGTGGAGATGCTGGTTTCATCTTCCAGCAGGACTCGTCTCCTGTCCACACTGACAAAGGTACCAACATCTGGCTGTGGAAGATTCTCATTTTCTGACACACTGATGTTTGGTTTGTCATTATTTATAAAGACAATCATCAACATTACAAGAAATAAAGGCTGGAAATATTTCACTCTGTGTAATGAGTCTATGTAAAATATGAGTTTCACTTTATGAAATGACTGACAAAAAATTATTTTTTCCACAATATTCTAATTTTTCAGATGCAGCTGTGTATCCAGTGAGTATTTTCTGAGTTTTAAAACCCATCTCATGAGATATTTTGCTAACAAACAAACACACAGACAGATACAAGTGTGTGATAAAGAAATGACGGGTGGCTCAAGACTGTTCACAGGACTGTATATAAAACGTTTGTTTTCATAAAATGACTTTGACATTAGTCAGAAACAAGCTGGCAGCTTCTCTGAGGAAAGATGGAGTTGATGTTATACCGGTAGTTTTATTTTTTACATTATGGCAGATCGTTCTCCTGAAACCCAACGGTAACTCATTTTTGTGTCTTTCAGTTTGTCTGCAAATACTCAGTAATAATCACTTCATCAGATCTGTTTATTATTTACTGTTTTCACTTCTGTTGCTGTGATTAATCTCAGAATGAATGAATGGTTTTCTGTCTGTTTTTCCAGGCTTCTCTGTGATATGGTGATTCACTTTCCAGTGTTTCAGGAGGAAATCACTCTGTCCTTGACTCCACTGAAAGTCTGTCTGAGAAACCACCACGAGGGAGGAAAAGGTGAGTTAACCCTGTAACGAGTTTTAGCTCAGATCCAGGAAGTGCAACACAGAACCTGACGACGATGTTCTTGTTCCAGGTCACATGAAGATGATGATCACTGAGATGTCCTTACATGCTGATGAGTTTGACAACGTTCAGATTGGACAGGATTCAGACATAACCTTCTGTCTGAAGGAGCTGAGGGTAACTTCATGTGTGTTTGTGTGAGAATCTGATCATTTCATGTGTAGGAGGTGAAATCTCCGGGCTTGTAGTCTGGATTCTCAGAAGCCCCGTCACACAGTGACGTCATCAGCTTATGTCAATCAAAACAACGTCAACACTCGGGTGTAAGTTGCATGAGTTAAGTGTAGGTTTTGAATATGTTACCAGCACACTGATATACGATGGCCAGTGGAAAAAATTGTTTACACAAATCTTTTCTGTGTAATTTACATGTACATATGACCGGCTGGCTTCAGACATAAGTCAACTTATCAGCAACACATTGCATATTTTCAGCACACATATTCAGCATACGCTGCACGTTTTGTGCATGTACAAAATATTTGGCTGGCATCGTCATACACCAAACTCATGCCATCGTATGTCAGCGTACGCTTAACTTATTTAAAACTTACACCTAACTTGTGTATGTTTGGCATAGTGTGCACACGCTGATGCTGCACGTCACTGTGTGACAGCCTCCCTCATCGCGGTCCGCTCCAACATGCTCCACACAAGTTCTGCATCAGTCAAACGCTGACAAACTCTTAGGAACAAGTCCTGGATAAGTTGCTCAGGTTTTATATTCGTTCAACTCGTTACCGATGTGGTATATTTCCAAAAAGACTTCCAGACTTCAGCGTATGCCTGCGTGTTCTAACATCTCAACATGTTCAAAACGTGAACGTTGACATGGGTTCTCTAAAACGTTCCAGTGAGACGGGACCTTCAAGGCCCTGCCTGGTTCTGGTCCGTGTTCTGGTCCGTGTTGCCCTCAGTGCTGTGACTCGTCTTTGTGACTAAGATGGAACGACAGCAGTGATGCACAACCACACGTAATAAAAATTTGTTCACACTTTAACACAAACCGAACTGTTGAAACTTGTTGAAACATCAGTTTAGAATGAAGACAAACTTGTGTTGAAAACGTTCTGTTCACATCTGTTTAGAAATCAAAAGAACACGAAGAGTTACTTGAAAATGTTCTCGAACTCGTGCAGCTCATGAGACTTGACCTGCAGTAACCCCAACAACTCTTGTTCCTAATGTGTTGGGATGCTTGCTGAACCCCCCCACTGTGAGACTCCTCATTAGCCGGCCTGGTCGTCTTGTACCTCTTGATTAGAAAATCGTGTTTGAGTGGATTAGAAATGTGGATTTAGGTTTTAGTCTGTCTCGGTTTACTCGAGCAAAGTTCATTCTTCATGTCAGCACACATGTTTTAACTGCACGCTTTGTTTTAATCTACATGAAATCACAGTCATGTCCTGGATATGTGACGTTCTGTTGGTAAACTGAAGCTGCTGTGTGTGTGTGTGTGTGTGTGCGTGTGTGTGTGTGTGTGTCCAGGGGATTCTGTCTTTTGCAGAGTGTCATGGCCTTCCATTGTCAGTTCAGTTTGGTGCAGCAGGACAGTAAGTTTGCTTGATTTGATGTTTAGCGCTCATATCTCAAATTAAAGGCCTGGCTTACCTTGAAAAAATGCGCATCACTCGCTGCCTTTCAGGCCAGTTTGAAACTAAGATCATCTTACATTGAGGATTGACAGAGTTGGAGCCTTGAAAATACCGTCATGCACATTCTCATGGGACACTGCGAGATGTCACACTCACAATCTGTGTAACGACTCTCAGCTGCTTCTACTAAATTTTAGCTCATTATTTGTAAAGTTGACGGAGTTAGAGACATTTTTGTTTGTCAGCTGGTTCCGATGAACATAAATAGGCTTGACTCCAAAGGTTTATTTGTTGATGTACCAATGATTGCTTCCTGAGAGTTTTGGTTGATTTTGTCTTGTGGTTCATGATATTTTTTGCAGATAGACACAAGAATAACTGCAAACTAAAACATAGTTTAAAAACGTACCCTCCAAGCTGAGTGTGCGACAGCTGCAGATTTTTATTTTTGCGGGTGCTGATTGAGAGTTAAATGATCTGTTTGACCAGGTTTTCAGGTTCTGGTGTTTAATTTCTGCTGCCTGCAGACCCGTGTGCTTCTCTGTGGAAGACGAGGTTGTTGAGGCCACCGTGGTGCTGGCTACTCTGAACGACTCTGAAAGCAGGGCTCCATCTCAGCCAGAACCAACTACACCCAGGTAACAAACACGGCACGCTTCAGTCAGCCTTCTTACCTGCAGCCAGGTATTGTTTTGATATTATTTTGGCCAGATTATCTGGTTCCCAGACCTACAACCAGCACTACTGTAGCATGTATTTGAAGGTTTTCTCAGTGACTGACTTTTCCTCCTGGCTTTGAGTCAAAGAGGTTTTGCCCTCATCGTCTGTTTTTAGCCTCCTAAGAGGGCGCAGAGTTACAGCAGCCAGTCTGCTGTCTGTAAGGGAGATAAAGAGGACAAGTGTAGGACATGTGCAGTTGGGTAAGAAGACATTCTGTAATCTGTTCATCCTGCTCCGTCTGTTTTGCTTTATGAACTCTACATGTGGATCATCAGTTCATTCATTCAACCTTTATTTAAACAGGTTAGTCTCAATGAACCTGGAGGACTCATTTACAAGAGAGACCTGATTTAACAAAGAGTGATGACAACAAAGACAATAATAGACGATCTTAAAATAAATCAAATAGAAAAATAAACAGAAGAAAATGATATTAAAAACAAAATAAAAACAGCTACATTATAAAGTGATGTAGAAAACTAAAAACAGGAACATGTCTGCATTGGTTCTAGCCATGAACTTAGCAGATGTTTGAAGCCACTTAGAGAGGTCAAGGTCGAGAGCTTCAGATCTTTTTGTAAGATATTCCAGGAAACAGGAGCGGAGTAGGAGAAGGCCCTTTTGCCTAGTTCAGTCCTCATTGAGGGAACACTGCAGGTAATAATGTTCTGAGAGCGCACGCTGTAGCTGCACTCACACAGAGACATGTAGGAGGAGATGTATGAAGGCAGCAGACCAAGAAGTGATTTAAAGATGAAAATGTACCAGTGAGAGAGTCTGCGTGAAGTTAATGATGACCAGTTAACCAATGAATACAGGGTGCAGTGGTGGGTACGGTAGTTACAGCCAGTTATGAATCTGAAGCCTCCAGTATACTGCCGTGTACGTCCGTTCACGCGTACGTACGCGTGTACGGTACGCAGAGGGTTCAGACATGATACTCCAGCGTACACCCCGAGCAGCTGCAGAGCAGCTTCACAGACACGGAGTGTTTACCTTCGGGACAAATTGAGGTCGCCGATTGGTCATTTGCTGACACGCCTACTGGATTGATTGACAGGTCGGGGGGGGGGGGGGAGCGAGCGCTGGTAGTCTCAGCCACAGCGGTGTTCTGTGTTTATATGTTGTTAATAAAAAGATCTAAAACATTTTTATTTTTAAAACAGGGAGCGCTGGCTCTACAGCCCACACTTCAGACCAGCACACCAGGAAGACTCCAGACCCTCCCACAGCTACGCTGGACCTGAGTTTAATTCGCTCGTGACAAATTCCTTCATTTCTCACCATTTCAGTCATGAAGTCAACAGAGGAGGAAGAGATCACTGCCTCTTGGCAAAAAAAAAACCAACAAAAACAAAAGAAAAGGCCAGATCAGGGATGAAGAAGGGGAATTTAATACATTGGTGTCTCATACAAAACAGTCCGTCGCCGGGCAGTTTATTGTGCGACACCGCGTACGCGGTCGTAAAAATTGAGCTTTGCACGGACATGCCCTGCAGGGTACGCTCGTACCTCCGCTTGCGTACTTGCGTATCTCTGCATAAGGACGTATGCAGGAGTATACTGGAGGCTTTAGTGCACCATGATAGACAGCATCCAGCATCTGCAGGGTGCTTGTAGGAGCGTTCATGTAAATAATGTCACTGTAATCAATGGAGGGAAGGAAAGTCACAGGTACAGGGTGTTTTCTAGCATTCAGAGTTAGACAGGATCTGTTTCTGAAAAAGAAACCCAGTTTAACTTTCAGTTTCTTTACTAAGGGACTTGGTTTCCAGGTGGAAACAAGGAGTCAGGTTTTGTGCTCAGCCTCCCACTGCTAAACAATTAAACTACATCGCTGGCTGATATTTTCCTCTTTTGCCACATCAAAGGTGGTTTCAGAACATGTTGTTCTGTTCATGCCATGTCATGCAGCCTCACAGTTACAGCGTAGCAAAGTAGTGAGGCTGCATGAAAACAAAGCAGCTCTCTTCTTCCTGCTAGGTTCCTGTTCATGCTTGTGGTGTGCATGCTTGTGTAAGGTTGATGACTTGTGATGTGTTTACATGTAGAGTTCCTTCTTGTTCGCTCACGCTGAACTGAAGCAACTTTCACATTCTGCTGCACTTCCAGCACCATTATTTTTTCTTAATCCTTCTCATAGAGGGAGTTCACAGCTACTTGTATTCATAAACACACTCTGGCTTTATGAAGTCTTGGGGTAAATTATTAACACCGGCTCAAGAGAAAAAAAAGAAATGTTCATTTACCTTACAGATCAGGCACGCTTAGCACAGCATGTCAAGTCCAAGACTCAACAACAAAATAAGTTTTACTAATAACTCATCAACACCATCATTATTCCAATAACAACACATTCAGTGTAGGACAACACTCCAGTAGTCAATTACATGCCAGGGAGACAGAAAAGTGGGTGAAGAATTTATCTGACAGACAGCTCACCCAGCCTGAGACAGAGATTCTTGCCAGGGGACTGAACTTTGCTGTTGCACCAAGTAGAATTCCTCCGGTGGAGATGATCACAGCTACTGAGTCAGCCATCCGCAACAACAAAATGAAAGAGGCTGAAGCAGAACAGCTCAGAATCAAAGTTTCATCCTGCCTCAGCAATGCCAAACCACCACCTTCCAACATCAGTAGAGAGGAGAGGGATGCACTCACCACTCTTAGCAAGGACAAAAACATCATCATTCTCCCAGCAGACAAAGGAAGGTGCACAGTGATTTTGAACCAGAAAGACTATCATGAGAAAGTTATGACACTCCTTAGTGACTTAAACACTTATGAACCTCTGAAAAGAGATCCAGGAAGTGGTTACAAGAAGAAGTTAATAGATTGCCTGAAAATTTTGGAGCAGGACAAGGCTATTGACCGTATTCTGTACCACAGACTGTACCCAGGGGAGGCCACACCTAGTCTGTATGGTTTACCTAAAATCCACAAACAAGGTGTACCTTTAAGACCAATTGTTAGCATGATTAACTCTGTCACTTACAATGTTTCCAAATATCTGGCGTCTGTACTCATCCCTTTAGTTGGCAGCTCAGAACACCACATACAGAACACCATGGACTTTGTGGACAAGGTGAGGGATGTCATCATGGAGACTGATGAAACAATGGTCTCTTTTGATGTCACATCACTCTTTACGTGCATTCCTGTTGATGATGCAGTAGAGGTGGTCAGTTTAAAATTAAAATCAGACACCACTCTGAGCAGCAGGACCACACTTTCTACAGAACAACTGTGTCAACTCTTGAAACTGTGCCTGCAGTCAACCTACTTCACATATGGGGAGCAATATTATAGGCAGAAACATGGGTGTGCTATGGGGTCTCCAGTTTCTCCTATTGTTGCCAACCTGTACATGGAGGAGGTAGAAAAGAGCCTTGACGTCCTTTTCAGGGACACCACCAAGTCATTGGTTCAGGTATGTTGATGACACCTGGGTTAAAATCAAATCTCAGGAAATCCAACATTTTACTGACCACATCAGCTCTGTGGATAAATACATCAAGTTCACACGAGAAGATGTAAAAAATGGCAGGTTGGCTTTCTTGGACTGTGAGGTCTCAGTCTCTGATAGAGGACATTTGCAAACTGAGGTGTACCGCAAACCCACCCACACAGACCAGTATTTGCAGTTTGACTCCCATCACCCTTTGGAGCACAAGTTAGGAGTCATCAGGACTCTGTACCACAGAGCAGACAGCATCCCCACTAGCTCAGGAGCCAGGCAGAAGGAGAAATCCCACACGGCCTTCCTGAAAGCAGAGAGGAAACCCAAACAGGACTCCAGTCAGCCATCAGGTGAAAAGGAGGAACCCAGACCCAGACCAGTGGTCATTCCATATGTTGAGGGAGTATCAGAGAAACTGAGACGTTTATTTTCTAAACATAACGTCCCAGTGGCTTTTAAACCCCAAAATACATTACGGCAAAGACTGGTTCATCCCAAAGATCCAGTCCCCCGGCACAAACAGAGTAATGTTGTGTAAGTTGTTCAGTGTCAGGAGGGCTGTGATCAGTCTTACATCGGAGAAACTAAACAGCCACTGGCCAAAAGGATGGCCCAGCACAGATGATCAACATCATCAGGCCAGGACTCTGCAGTCTACACTCATCTCCAGGCCAGCGGTCACTCTTTCAAGGATGAAGATGTTCACATCCTGGACAGAGAGGAATGATGGTTTGAGAGAGGAGTAAAGGAGGCCATCTTTGTGAAAAGAAATCGTCCATCATTAAACAGGGGTGGAGGCCTCCGGGTTCAACTGTCCCCCTCTTACAATGCTGTGATTGCTAGTATCACTCAGCCCTCTGTGAGTAGTAAACAGCCATCAGTGTGCTAATGATCCATTGTTAGGCTGATGGTCCTTCTTGAGCATGTGATCAGCTGGTTTTGGTTGTCAGCAGCAAAACTGGTTGATCCACTCTGAGAAGGTGCTATTTAAGAGACTGAGCTGAAAACAGCACCTCAGACTGAGGAAGTCTCTTGGATGAGAGACGAAACGTTTCTATATTTTTTTGCTTTGTTTTGTTTTTTTGGAATGCCCAGAGGACCAGATTGAACTTTTTTGGATTTTTCTACCTGGATTATTGAGCATGTATCAGGATATTCATTTACCTTGTTTGCTGTAGTTCAAAATAAGCTCCTGTTTTTTCATGTTACAGTTGACTCCTGTCCTGTCGTCCATGTTGTGAGCATAACTTGAAAAATAACTGAGGTACTGACTTCCAGTTTGGTGTGTGGCTGCCTCTAGGTGGAAGAAGTTTCTTTTGAAAACTGGGTTGCCATGTGGTCTGTGTGCTCATGAGTCAGACATTCACACAGTTCTTTTACAGCTACAGAGGAGTTCCAGTGTCCAGCATGATTTAAATGCAGCTGGGATTATTTTGTAATCTCCTCACATCAGGAAGTCTGAAGTGAGTGTGTGTTCTCAGGTGTGCAGCTGCTGCAGCTCCATCTGTGGGGGTGTGTGAGGGACACAGCAACATCTACCATGGCAGTGTTCATGAGCACGTGCTGATCCCATCCAGCCAGGGCAGCCCTGTCATCAGCTGTCCTTTTCAGCTCCTGCCTCGGATCAGTGACCCGACTGGACTCTGTGAGGCTGCAGAAAGTGGCTGTGCCACCTCAACTCCTGCATCCACCACGGTAACAAGTGTTGAGTCTCGTCACAGTCTGTGTTCATGCTCTTACGTTTAGCTGTTCCAGTTTTAATAAGTTGGTTTGAACTGAGGAAAGCAAAGTGTTTCACTTGAAAGTACGTATACCCTGATTGCAGTAAGTTTTCATCCCAAGGTCCTGTTCAGACTGGAAACTGTCTTCCAGTTGACTCTGTCCCAGATGGACAGTTTAAACAAGATTATGGGAACTAAAGTCATGAGTGACAAAGTTCTGTCTTTCACGATCATCACGTTTTTTATGTAAAATCAAACGCATGCCTGAACTGTATTAAAGAGGAACATGAGGAAACAGCTCATTTGTATTGTGATGAAGTGGCGAATCCAGATCTGAATCAGCTGGAAGACACGTTAGTTTCCAGTCTGAACACTGGGCTGAAGTTTTATTGCAATCAGGGCAGAGTTCCCAACAGTTTTATCAAACTAATCACAGAAGAGAGGCGGATTCTTGTTGCACAAATGGCAGCCGTGCTATTTATAGCTGAGGTTGTACAAAACCAGAGTCTGATCTTCATGTTTTGCCCAAAGAAGGTCAACTTTGTCAGAAGCAAATTCATCCTGTCACTTTCTGACAGCGGTCACACATTAGCTCCAAAACTATCCAGTATGGCCACTCATAGATCTTCACCAAATGTAAAAATAACAACTTTCAAGTTGGTTTAAAGCCATGAGTTTGGTTTTCTTTACAAAAGCATATATGAAGGGAAAATAGTTGTTTTAGGAGATTAGAAACTTTGATATATAAATACAGGTGGTAAAACTTAACAAAAACGTTTCCTTTGCAGGTCTGCTCTCTCCTGTTTCAAGCCTTGTCCTCGGAGCAGGAGGATGATGATGGTGACTGTGCAGCCATGCCTGTTCTGGCATGTTGTAGTGATGAAGAGGAGGGTTGTGAGGACAACGATCCAAGGAGATAACAGTTATTTGTTGTAGCTTGTGGCACCATGTACGGTATGTGCTGAATGTGATCAGCTGAGCAGCAGTGCACGTTACGTGTGAAGCAGCTCCTCACCGTGCGCTTCTCTAAAGTTCATGCCGTTTCCAACGTAGAGCAGCTTCATCATTTCTTTGTTCGGTGCGTATTCACAGCGTTCTTACATAAACACAGCAGGTTACATCTGTATTACAAGTCACTACTACATGATAATAAATATATTCTTTATTCAAATGTACAAATGTTCCCCGCGCAGCTCAGGTCTGTATGTACATGCCGTGACATCGGCTGGAAGATGCTGAACAGGAAGTGGGAGTCGAAGCAGGATGTGATCTGTCGGTGGTGGAAACTAACATTGTGTTTTAAGGCGGTTTAGATTGTCCTCAGCATTTTAACACCAGTCTGCCTGAATCAGATCCACCCCATCACTCAAAGATTCATTAGCCGAGAGACGAGTGCACAGAGATCATTTCCTCAGATTGAGATGGCTTTATGAATATTCCTGAACAAACACGAGATTTTAATAGAATTGAATCTGGAGGTCATATTGTGTGTTTGGACAGTAAAATGACGGGGACTGCTGCTTTGACTCTTGTGGCTTCTTTACAGCTTCAGGTTGTGTGCTCGTTACCTGGTACACCACCAGGTTAAAGAACTGCAGACATGTTTGCCAGTATCAACAACTCCTGCTACAAGGCACATCACAAGGCTAATACAGACTTCATAAACACTTCCAAGTGTGTGTAGGTATTAGCACTAAAAACACAAACGCACTGGAACGACGACGCAGCGACGTCCGTCATAACAGCAAGAATGGGTGCTGCCGTCTGTTTCTGCCAGCAGGTCCTAATTACAAGTTCAACTCAACCAAGAAGCTCAATGTTTTGTCACTCGTTGCAATAATCAGAACCCACATTTCAGAGACATCACAGTTCACTGGTAAAGCCACTTTATTATTGAAAATGTGACCTTTTGTTTTTCGTGTCCATCTGTGCTGTCAAACTGTTCATTAATCAAATCTGTGCTTTAACCTTTTTTATGCCAATAACTAATTAACATTAGCCATGACAAAGGTTCAGTTATTGTCTAAATACTGAAGATCATCTTCGATAAAGGCCTGAATATTTCAAGAATTACGAGGAGAAACATTACAATCTACAAGTTATGGTATTAATCCAAGTGAAAGAACCTTGAGAGACAGCTGGAGCTCTGGACTAAACACACGTTTAAAGCACCTAAAGTGTATTTGTGGTTATAATGATTACAGCACCTGGTCATTTCAGCACGCAGCTGAACAGCAGCTACAACAGGACAGCCTCAGAGGTCAATTATAGATCTAGTGTAAGGGGTCTATGGCAGGGGACCCCAAACATCTGGGCCAGTCTTTTTTTTCTTCAGTAAAAATAAGTTTATATACAGTTTTTTTTTTTTACTTGACAAAATTTTCTTGGCAATTAATTTTACGCTGTGCAGCTTTTTGAGCATTTATGACAACTCCTTTTAAACAGAGTAACTTTTCTATAATTTTTAAGATTTATTTTGCGCAGCAAGCTTTTCAAATGTTTACAGTAAGTGATCTGTGCACACACACAGAGGCACAGCCTGAAATGAACGCATGGGTGAAGAAAACCAGCAGGTCTGTCACTAAAGACTATTTGAAGATAAACACTGTGGACGTCACTGAATTTAAATTGGACCACTGGTCATGGAGTTGCTAATGGGTTAGGTATTGTGCTCTCAATGCTTGACCAGTTTCGATGGGAGACTCAATACTTCATAATTATCCATTTTTAACTACATGCACAATATATGTTAAAGTAAAACACATTATTGCTTTGCGTTAGACTGACAGCATCCATCACAGTGTACTGTATGGCTCACATGCAGCAACAGATGGGCAAAACACTGAGCAAAATGGCCGCCGCGACTCACCTGGCGCCTTCAGAGGCTGCTCCAGTGCATTTTTATTTTAGTGCGTAAAAGTGGCAGCAACGCAGAGTGCAAATCTAAAGGTGTAACAATGACAGCGTCTCAAGACAAAACCTGCAGCTGCCGACACATCAACACACTCCTGAAACTACGTGTGTGTGTAACATGAACATGTTGGATTCAACAAACACTGAACAAAGTTATAAAAATACATGTGGTCACCTGACCGACTTCCAACGTATTGAGCTTTTTCAGATTTGTTTTTAAAGCTTTGTGCGTTTAAGGCTGCCACATCCAGTGGACGTGGACAAGTCTGAAACATGATCCATTCGAGGGAGACCAGTCATTCACAGCTCACACACGTCCACAAGACTTCAGCAGCAGCAGCAGGATTAAAGGGAGAACACTTGACAAACATCTCACGAGGCTTTTCATTTACAAACACCCCCATAATAAAACGTGCAGGACTCGAGTTGTACTGGTGAGAAAAAGCAGCTGCCACTCTTCATCCTGACATCTGAATGAATCGCCCCTGCCAGTGGAAATGCACCACGTGTAGATATCATGTACACTTTTTTTTTCAAACATTTAACTTGACCTGAACGGCACGTAGACCATCTTCAATATGTGCTCCAACACAAAAGACCTTTCAGAAAAGGCTTTCCCAACTTCTGCTGCAGCATCTAACTAACAGTGCAGTTTAATTAGTGAGCCCTAAATGCTGCGGTTCCCTTCTCTAACATTTAACTCAGACTGCAGTCAGTTCAACACCACCTGGCTACACCTGAGCCTCCACTTCCTCTCCATCTAAGCCACGCATCCCAAAAAGACAACTTCTCCTAAGACAAGATGTTCGTCTCCAACGTCCCAGTGACGGCTGATCCTTGGCAAAGGTTAGCAAGTGAGAGGAAAAGGGAGCTGGTCATCTCAGGGGTGGGACGGTAGACTCTGGGGATGTGAAGGAAGCGTCAGGGCTACATCCTGACCAGCAGGAATGAAAGTTCATCACATCCAGAGGCAAACAGTCCTCCATCACAGCTGCACAAGGTCTAGTCTGTGTATTCTGCCACGATGGACAGCAGGACTGTGATGTCATCTGGCTTTCCTCCTGCAGACAGAATGCACAGACTAAATCAGAACGGTGGCAGAAAAATTTATTTAATACCACAAAAAATATCTTAAAATATGTAGCAATTCAATTTAGGAATAACAGCAGCTCATGAATTTATTATGGATTAGCAAGACCATTCCATAGATATAAATGTTGTACAGTATATACATCCATAAATAGAAGAATCAGAATAAGCTTTATTATCGTTGTACCGAGATACAGCGAGAATATGTTCGTACAGTCCGAAAGATGGACGGAGTGCACGTAGCTGCTGCTGCTATGATAGCGCAGCCTCATATCCTTTTAGAATACATTTTTAGATAGACAAGGCAGAAGGCAATAGAGAAAAAAAAAAAAGCTGCAAAAACAAAAGGAACCTGTTGTGACATTAGACCTGTCACGATAACAAATTTTACTGGGCGATTAATTGTCTCAGAAATTATTGCGATAAACGATAATATTGTTTGAAATTTGACAATAATTAGTAATTATTGTCAAATTTAAGAAGAAATGTTGGTTCATTTGTTTTGGGTGTAGTGCCTTTTTTTGACCGCCAAATGGCAGTATAAGACTGTTTGAAATGAAGGATGGATAGTGAGGGAGCGAGCAGCGTGTCTCTAAGAAAACTGGGAGGGAGGCCCCTTGACGTGTCATGGGCTGTCTCTCCTTCCTTGTTTTCGTTCTCAAAATGACGGACGCTCGGTGTGGTTTGAGCTATTCAGCATAACATGTCACACAACGCTTTTAATTAAAAAAATTAAAAATCAGAAAAGTTCTCAGCTTCTTTTTTTTGGAGAAATTTTTTTTACATGAAGGCACGGGTTTCAGTCTTGAATTTTGGAGCTTTGTCAAGACGGAAGTTTCCCCCCCGCCCACAAACAAGTTGAAAAAGGCTGAAGCAGAACCAAAGCTGAAATGAGCAGTAAAAGGTTTAAACAGCTCAAAGAGTAAAGGATGTGCAGAGCTCTGTTCATTTTTAATAAAGTAAAAATGGCAGAAAAATGGAAATATTTCAATAAAACTACAAAAACCAAAAGTCTGAGCAGGAACCTTCAGAATGAGTTGAAGGTTTTGATGAATAGTTGAAATAGAACAAGTTAGATGCTGAAAAAGAAAAATCTCAATATTATGGATCACACTCCGCTCTGTGGGAAGTTTTAAATCAAACATGAATTTGTCAGGGAATAGATGAACTGCTCGCTCCTAAAATGCTCAAACATCATGTAAGACTTAAAGCCGGCAGCAGGAGAGGAGCATGATCAGTCTGAGCAGGCACTGGCTGCTGTTTCAGGGTTTACAGACGTTCAGCTCTTACCTCGTACATGCAGGCCATTATCACAGGCGTACTGTGCAAAAGGGGACATGTAGTTGGGATCGTACGCCAGTACGTGGGCTTGTTCTGCGATGCTGCGGGCCGTCTGCTGAACGCTCTCATAGTTTGCATTCTGACGAGGAAAAGCAGCGCAAGCTTTAAATCCTGTCGTTTAACTCGGCAGCAACTCGTTTGTGACTTACCTTAAGTTTCTTCAGCTCGTGCAGGATCATATAGTCAGGCATGTTATCAAACAGCCCGTCAGTGGCGGTGAGGATGATGTCACCCAGCTGCACGCCGAAAGAGGAGCTGTCTGCTGCGTCAGGGCTGCAGGAGGAAGAGACCTCAAATCATCAGGGCTGAAGCTGCAGCAGCTCGTTTACGCTCTCATGTTTATCTGACCCCACAATTCAAACCTCCAACTCACTCTTCTGCTCCAGAAGAACTCACTAGCTGTAAGTGTGGTAATCTGACGTAGATTATAAAATGTAGAGCAGCTGCTGCAGAGTCATCTTGGTTTTAAAGACAAAACACCTGAGCAGTGAGGATAGTTTGAGTGACGGCTGGATGGAGCGGTCAGGTCCAATAAAAAGATGCTGCACTTCAGCAGCGGCAGCTACAAATTCACTCTGACAGCGTCAGGTGTGCTTCTCTGAAGATGTCCCCCCCGATCCAGTTCTGAGTGTAACAGAGGGTCTGGACCACATCAGGACACTGAGCCAAAGCTCCCAGAACATCCTGTTCTGTGGAGACAACTGCAGCTCACAAACATGGCACCAACACTTTGACGTTCGAGTCTGAGGAAATCACACGACTGCATTAATTAGTGGAGGCCAAGACATTTGAAATGTCAGCAGGACGAACCAGCTGCAGCTCCAAGTACAAACATACAAACAATCATCAAGAGGAAAATATTTTGTTATGAAGGAAGAATAGTTTATTGCTGAAGAACAAGCAATTAAACTAAATCTCATTAATCTATTGTGTGTCTTGTCACCACCCCCCCACACACAAATTGCCTGTGGTCATTGTCTCATAAGTTTTCTATAAAGTGTCTGGACCTTTGACAAAAACAGGAATGTTGTTTACGATTTCAGTTTCGACCTTTGCACTCCTGGACTGGTTGCCATGTTTGTGACCGGAGTCTTAATCTGATGCTGTAGCCTACAAACTCCTGAATAATCCTCGGATTGAATGACTGAAGTCTTTATTTCCTGCGACACGCAGCTCACTTGACTCCACGGCTGACATTTACCCAGCTTCCTGACAAGCCCTTTCAGGAGCCCGACACTAATCCCAGGTTTAAAGACGAGCGAGTGAAACGTTCTCTCAGGATTGGACGTGAACTCCTCGTGCAGAAGTTCGTCAGTCTACACAGACTTTAACCCGGGTAAGAGTGAAAGCTTGGCAAACATCCTGAGCTCCACTGACGTCTACGCTGCTGCTGCTGCTGCTGCTGCTCCTGGGCACGCCGCTACAACGAGACACGGCACCACGAGCTCCTGACCCACAGTCGCTGTATTCACAAACACATCCTGCACCGCGCGTGGGACATACGAGGACAACAACACATCCTGCACCGCGCGTGGGACATACGAGGACAACAACACATCCTGCACCACGCGTGGG